ACCAGGACGTGTTCACGACCAACCAGATCACCTCGGCGCTGGTGGCGTACCGCTCGGCCGCCGACCAGGACACGGCGACGGCCTCGAGCATCGCCGCCGCCCTGCTCAGCTACTACACCATCGCGCAGGTGGACGGCCTCCTGGCCGGCAAGCTCGGAGTCACGGAGGCAGCCTTGGGTCTGGAGACAGCCGTGCGCTTCCCGGACGACGGAGGGGCCGACGAGGTGGTGGCCGCCATCGGTGAGCAGATTCTGGGCCCACGGACGTCTCCCTGGCAAACCACGCACACCGTGGGCGCAGTGAGCGTGGACGGCTACACCCTGACCCTGGCAGTGAACCCGTGGAACATCGTGCGCACCTACAACCTGACGCCCGGCCGAGAGCTCCTCTTCGCCTGCCGGTATCGGCTCGGCACGGCCTCCAACTTCGTACATGTCCGAGGCCGACAACGTCTACGACCCCCTGTACGGCAGCTCCGTGGGTGACCAGGGCGCCTGGAGCACGGCCAAGATGTACTTCACCGTGCCGCTGAACGGGGTCGCAAAGCTGCACTTCGGGGCGCACTTCCAGGGGCGCCGGGCCTGGCCAACCAGACGGCAGGAACGGTGGACGTCTACGGCCTCCAGATCCTGGACGCCACCCTGGAGGCCGGCAACTCGACGGAGGTCGAGGCGGACACGACAGCCTTGGCCCTGCTGCTCAAGCACGAGTTTCTCGACGGTGGGGCCGACGACGTCACGCTGGCCACCCTGGGTGAGGTGCTGTTGGAGCCCACCCTGACCACGCTGGGCAACTTCCTGGTGCGCTCCAACAGCCAGTAACCTCGGCCAGCTTCACGGCGGGCGGCTTCGAGCTGGAGGGCTACGCCATGACCCTGAGCGCCTTAGCCTGGAACATCGTGCGCACCTGCATTCTGACGCCCGGGAGGCGCTTCTCCTTCGGCTGCCGGTACCGGCTGGGCACGGCCTCCAACCTGGTGATGTACGTCAGTGCGGCCGACAACGACTACGTGGGCGTCACCGGCACCTTCCTCGCGCAGGGAGTGTGGAGCACGGCTCGACTTCAGCCAGAACACCCGAGGGAAGACCAGGTACGCCTGGTGGTCATGGACGTCTGTATCCGGGAGGCTGCTGTGCTCAACAAGAACGCCAAGACGGTCGGCCAGGCCACCAAGCGGGCCACGCAGGAGCTGGTGGGGGATGACAAGAACTTCGTGGTCACGAACGACCTGGGCAGCGACTTCGCCACGCCGATCGCAACGTACGGCCATTGTGGACCGGGGCATCCAGGACCTGGCCACGCGCGTGGCCCGCAAGCGCGGGTAGTGGAGCGACCACTCTGAGCGAGCCGCGGGGGCCTGCAACGCCCGGCCACACGAGACGGTATACGGCACCCCCGAAAATGTGGAGAAGCAGCTGGCCACCGAGCTCCGGCTTCTACAGGAACGCCGACAAGTTCCAGCACAACAAGGACCTCACGGACCGGTGCATCAAGGCCGTGGAGGACGCAGGGGCTTTCCGAGCACCAACGAACGCGGCGAGGAGCTTCAACCCACAGTACAGCGACATGCAGCAACTGCGGGCCGTGGACTCAATGACCGTCCGGAGCACCGAGGGCCAGGAGACCCTACTGCCACCCCCCCCTGAGACTGGACGTTGGACGATCAAAACAAAGGTTGGAGGGGCTCGATCAAAGTCAAACTCGTAACGAGCAACAGCGATTGCGAATGTTTGTTAACAGACCAAACCACTGAAGGACAAAAATTAAATGCACACGCGGGCAAGGACCACTCTAACTACTATGACAAAATGTTCCCATTTGCTGGTCGCGTCTAGCTGGACAAAGCCTCTTTGGCTGGCTCGGCCCGCCCAAGTTCTGGCACTATCAGGGCACGGATGGCCAATTATTTGGTGGGTCCAGAACCGAATCGCACAGCCCTTTGAAAAGACCACACTGTTGGTTCTGCGATCTTGGCGAACAAATCTCCAGTTGTCTAGTGGTACTTCTACGGCTGCTTCCCTTTCAACATGTACACCAATTCAAAAATACGGAATCGCTTTTTTGAAGGGCCACTGAACAACTGGGAATCAGGCGGTGTTTAGTGTGTAACATTTCCTGAAAATAAAACTGCATGTTAGCCCCAATTCAGCTGGTGGAGTCTGCAAGTGTAATCAACGATGCCCAAGGCCCTGATCTGGCCGGCTAATTGTCACTGTACCAACTTGGGGCCAATATGCTAATTGGAAAAAAATATTGCTCACCATGATCCACAAATGACCCGAGAACTTGGATGTGGGTTTGTCTCAAAATTGGAGATGCCGTTTCTGGTTGGTTGTAAAAGGATACCAAAAGGAAAAAACGTCTCCCACATTCCCATGACACTCACTCCAGGCTTGCCAGTGGCACGCACGCGGTCTGACAAGCTTTTGTCTGTGATTACATCTCTGGCTTCAATCTGCTTTGCCACGAAACTGAATACGCTGTACCAAAAAGCTCTGAGACAAGGAAGACACAACGCTGTCAGGGCTCATGGTTTCACGTTGGGCCAGTGAGCGGGACAAGCAGCCGTCAAAGATTTGCCCAGAAAACTCTGAATCTCGCTCGCAGTTAGATACTTCCACCGCTGCCTTTCCAAGTTACGGGTGGTGTCCGGTGCCTGGCCACGGAACAGCAACCCCAGCATGCCAAGGGGCATATCCTGCTTCGGGTAGGCGCTGCCTAGTTTGGCTTGCATGCCCCTCACCAGGCAACTGGCCGTTGCATCCTTTTGATACACCCACATGGCGTCCACGATTTCCGTTTTAGAAAAAGTGGGCGACAGCACCGCTATGTAGGGGTATGTGTCGATCGGCTGCCCCTTCCACCAGGCCAGTATGACTTCTTGGTTGGTAGAATTTTCCTGCGGCACCTTCTCCACATACACCGCAGCGGGCCGTAGAGCCCCTTTTGCCAGTCCCAGCAGCTCGTGGGGCTCGCTGTACTTGGCCTCATAGCATCGAAGGCACAGAGCGACCAGCAACACGGTCTCCCAGTCTTGGCCGCTCTCAACCTTTCCCGACCAGCTCGGGAGCTCCTCGATCCATGCACCAACCTGTTTCCAACCCAGGTGGCAGCACATCTGTCCCACATAGGCAAGAATCCACCGGATCTGCCCCCTTTTGGGGGATTCAGTGAGGGCATCGAAGGCTCGCACTGGATCGTGGTCTGGACCCCGCTCGCCAGTGAAGAACTCTGACAGGAAAGACTCTGACAGGAAAGACTTTGCCAGGATTGGGAGCTCCGACTCTGCAGCAGGTATGATCTCCCGGAACCGCTCCTTCAGGTCCAAGTCCCCCGTCTTGACCGAGTAGATCAGGGACGGGATGTAGCCGAAATAGACGGCCTCCAACGGCGTCAAGGCCGCGCAGTTCGGGTGCATGCCTCTCAGCCTCTGCACCTCAGCGCACCTGGGCATTTTTATGGGGATCGCGGTACGAGAGCTTCCTGCGCCCTTGCCCAAGGCCCAAGACTTGATCGAGGCCAGCGCTGGTGGGGATGTGGGTGCTGAACACGAGGTGTCGTCCTGCAGGGTCAAGGAACATCTCTCGCAGGAATCTCCCCACATCTTGGTGGCCATCGGTTGGATTGGCTTTGAGCAAGACGTTCAGCTCATCCACGACGAGGACGACGTCCTGCTTGTCCGCCAGATATGCCTTCAAGGCTTTCTCGCTGCAGCGCACCCGCTCTGCATCTTTCTTGTCTGCGGGCTTGTTCTTCATTAGACTCACAGCAATGGCCCTCAGCATAGTGTCCAGTACCTTTTCGCCATCGAGCTTGTAGACGAGCGAATCCCCGTTGAAGCTGATGAAAATGGGGAGTTTCTCCTCCTTCTTCAGCCTGTCAAAGACCTTGCAAAGCATTGTTGTCTTGCCGCCGCGCATGCAGCGGGAGAGCGGCTTCGTACTCTTTGTGACCAGTGGCAGATTGTCCTGGACTGCCTGCATGCAGTCATCAACGCAAGAGTCCAGCTCTAGGAACCTTTTGGGTCGGTCACCATCTGAAGGTCGCAAGCAAGCAGCGAGATTGAAGTCCTTGGCAGTGACGACCTGCTCGCCTTCTCAGTGACAAGACCAAAAGCAAAGGTGGGCTGGAAAGCCACTGCCGGAGAGGGGGCATTGACAAGAAGAAACAATGGGGCCAGCTCCGCGGGGCGATCTCATTTGCGCACGGCAAGTGTGCCTTTTCTGCTGGGCCGTTTGCTGGAAGCAAGAGAAGCTGCAGTGACTTGTGTACTGAGTTGCCCTGTTGGTCAAAATACCCCAACGCACCAGCACTGGCGATCACATGAGCTCATCCTTCTGCAACAATCCTACAGCCAGCTCAAACTACAGGAGCCGGGAACCATGGAAACAATCCAGCACGACACCATCTGCAAAAGGTTTTCCTCTCCCTAATCTTTCTCTTGAGCAGCCAAACAACCCGCAAATACGCAAAGAACCAACCAATGCAACAACATAGCAAGGACGGCTTCTTCGGCTTGTTGGGCGCTACAAAGGCGGTTCCTTGCGCTTTCATTGAACAGGGCTTGCCCTCAAGTGTGTTTTTGCTTGTTGTTCCACATTTTGGGACAAAACGTTGGAAAGTTGTGTCCCGTTGCACTTCCTCACAAGAAGGGGTTGTGCCACAAACATGGCGAAGCTAACCCCCAGCAAGAACCTCACAACGCGTTTGTTGTCGTCACCGCGCAACAACACAATATCCCTTCCCCGATCGCGTCATTGCGACTGGCAAAAACCACCTGCTGCAATCGCAATTTGAGCCACGTTTCTTGAGAGGCACTTGTGGCAAAAAAATATGTTCAAATCATCCGAGAAGCGCTGCATCAAAATAAACGTTAGCAATTACTATTACCAAGAACATAGCACAGCTGGCCCTCTTCGAGTTGCTGCATGTTGAAGCGTCTTCAAGGCATGGAAACACATACTTGATCACATATCCGTCTAGTATGAGTGAAACTAGCAGGCTTGTTTACAGGAAAGAATCTTCCCTTCCCTTCTCTTCCCTTTCTTTGCTCTCTCTTGCGCGCTTTTGCACTCACAGCAGCTGCAACACGTCCATCTCTGGGATTATACACCTACAACTCATGAGAGAGTATCTCTTCTCCTGTTGGCGTTTGGCCCAGGAAGAGCCGTCCTGAAAATTTTGTCTGCCGTCTTCACATGTGCTGCAAATCTGGAGCAACGCATTTGCCATGTCTGCAAGGTTGTCTCTGTGCTCCTCCTTTTGAGGCTTCCTGCCCTGCGCTCCCTTCCTGCCCTTCCGAGGCTTCCTAGTCTTGTCCTGGCATGATTTGGACAGCTGACTTGCGTTCTTCAGCAACCCATAGCAGCATTGCACTGCAATGAATTCGAGCATAGGAGTCGCCTTCCGCTTCACAGGGATCAAAAGGTCGTGGTGAGCATTCTTGATATTCCGGTTGGACTTGATGGCCTTCCCGACCTTGCTTTCGACACTAGCTTCATTGTCCGTCGGGTATTCCACACCATCACTCCAGCAAACTTCGAACGGCTCCAAGACAGCTCGCAAGTGCAGATCCTCTGTAGGGTAGATCTCCAAAAACGGGATCCAGGTGACGTTAGCACTCAGATTTCTTGCTATGCAGTGAAGGTGGAAGCGCGCAGCCAGGGAATTGGCCACCAGCTCTTCCCAAGGGCGCCCCCTTTCAGTGGCGCCCCTTTTCTGCCCTATCAAGTAATTCAGCAAATCTGGCAGGAGCCCTTCCAACGAAATGTTCCGCTGTTTCAAGTCGTTTTGGAGGGCGTCTTTGACATTGGTATCCTTACACCACCACAGCCATGGAACCAGCACGGACTTGTTCTTTGGAAACGCTGCTCCTGCCCTGAAGATGTCTGACCACCTTAGTGAGGTTCCGGGCACAAACTGGTTGCCTTCTGCAGGCCATCGAACCGCCGAGCAAAGAACCAACGACAAAGCCACTTTGGGCTCAGCGAAATAAGGCGCTGCATCCGCGTACGAGCTTTCGAACTCATTCGACATGGCGTTGAGTGCAACCTGAGCAGTTGATGCCAACTCACCCCTGGTCTGGAAAGCCGCCTCCAAAAGCCGGGGTACCCCGGCAGAGAAGAGGTAAATGTTGTTGAATTCCTCCTCCTGGTACTGCGTACCCCTCCAGCCTTTCATGGCTCGTCTGGCAGCTTGCAGTGACAATGGCTCTAGAGCTGGAGCTTTCTGGACCTTCAGCATGGTGTACTCGTCGGATGGCCTATCTTGCAGGATATTGACTGTGCCTGCGGAAAACATGCCAAGCCCCTGCGGGAATCGGCTCAATATTTGGGTGAAGACCGATTTCTGTCCACGATGTTGGCTCAGTTCATCGACCTTTCTGTTCACAAGCAGCTCTGCCTGATCGAGGAACAGTAAGCAAGGGCAGGCTGGTGTTGCATTGAAGGCTGCAGCCGTCACCAGAAGCCACTGCTCGAAGACATCCTTCCTTTCTTGACAAAATTCGCGAAGCCAAACTTCAAAGCTGCTGCGTCCCTCATTTGGTGTCGATGCACGCTTGACGGCCTTCAGCGCTGCAATGAACTCCATACGCTGAAAACTCACCACGAGCCCACTCACTTCAATGCTGTACCCGTGCAACAACTGTGACAGGTGCCACACGACGATGGCAGAAGCAATCCAACCGGCATCTTCCTGCGACGATAACTCTGCAATTTCTTGCGCATCAAATACCAAGAGCCGCCCGCACCGTCGACTTTCGGAAAAGTTTGAGACCTTCGCCAAATGACGAATGAGCGATGTCTTGCCGGTGCCCCGCGGGCTGGACAAGGCCAAGACCGTCGGCTTGTTGGTCTGTTTCCTTTGGATCTCCTCCATTTGCTCCACAACACTCTCAACAACCGCCTCTCTTTCCTCAAAAGGCCTCTCATTCTTGTTGTTGATTCGGCGGTTCAAAAAGCGGTCTTCCAAGTCCGAGAGATCTGCGGCGTTAAAACGAGGGAGCTCAACCTGCGCGGAAGGTGCCCAAATTTGAGGTGGCTATGCATGAGGGAATGCTGGGAAGGACAAACAATCGCAACAAACCAAACACGCATCGGCAATTGGTGAGAAAATCGATGACTAGCAGGTTCCTTCCCACTGATTCATGTATTGCAAAACGCTAACCATTCACAACACTCCACAAAGAAACATGGGTACTTAGTGCGAAAGCCGAGCACTAGGAAAGCGAGGAACACAAAGGTACCAAAACCGAAACAAAACCAAATTTTCCAGCAGGAACACTGCCCATGAAAGCAAAGCGGGAGATGCGCGGTTCAGCTCAACAATCCTTTTGTGGGGCTCCACGCTGAGCAAAACCACTGAGTTCCCAGGAACCCCGTTCAGGTTCTGTGGATGTGATCAGGGCAGCCCCACTGAAAGCATTTCCACGGGGGAAATCAAAACCACACAAAACGTCAAACGGCACGTCTCAACGTCACCCGGCAGCAGAAATACATTGTGCACACTTTAGCCATCTCCTCCATGCTCGTGCTGTCGGAACAAAATTTAACCTTCGGATTGCATTGTGTCTGCAGCAGCAACGACCATGGCAGAAGGGTAGGTCTTGCTCTTCAAAAGGCAGGCGACTGGAACAGCAGGCTCTTCAATATTTGCGGGTTCCCCCTCGACTGTTTGATAGTTTTGCGCTAAACACTCACACCAAATCAGGCAGATATGAACAGGTACGGAGAAAAATGAACAACAGAACGGGATGGAATGGCAGCAAAACGGGCAAAACATCGAGCAAGAACACCGCCAGGGAGATCAAAGAGAACATTCATAGAATGCACTTGTGCCTGCAGCAGCAAGGGCCCCAATGATTGCAAAGACATCAGAGTTTGCCCTCCCTCTCCCCGGCAGACGGGCAGGTCTTGCTCTTTCAAAAGCAGGCTGGGGGCAAGCGCAAAATCACTCACAACGATCAACGGCACGTCTCAATCAATGTCGACCAGCAGGAATGACCGACCTCCAACAAGGAAAGGCAACCATCCGTTCATGGGGGGTCCCTACCGAGCCTGCCAACGACAGGAAGCGCCGCAATCTGCACAAATGTAATCTTGGGATTTCCTCATTCGGATGTTGATCAGGGCAGCCCCATTGAAAGCATTTGCGGGCCGCGGGGGGAATTCCTCAAAACCGCACGCAACGACCAATGTCTCAGAACAAAGTCAAGAGCAAACGATTTTCCAGCCGTGCCTGGGGCTCCTGCAACAACTGGATCTTCTTGGTCAGCAGTTTTGCAGGGCCCAGTGGGATTCCAGCTGCAATCTGCTCGTCCAGTGTCAGCTCCAGCAGGGACTTGCCGGTGACGCCCTGCTGCTGCAGTGCGGTCACCGTTTGCTGGATGAGCTCGTCGTCTGCTTCCAGCCCACCATCGATCAACACAGCCTCTGCCCAACTGGACACCTGGGCCTTCTTGAAGCCCTCCACCTCCTCGCGGCTCTTGGCGAGCCAGTCCTGCCAGCACTCACCAACAACCAAGCCTGGCGCATGCGAGCCCCTGGCCTCCGCACCACTGTCCTGGCACGATTGCAACCGGCCAAATTTACAACTGCTGATTGGAGCGTCCGGCTGCGGGCTGGCGCGCGAAGCAACTCCGCCACGCCCAGGGTGCCAGCTTGTCACCTCAAGAGCTGAAATTTAGGCAAAAAAATCACATCAACGCCGAGATCTGGACCTGTGCCCTGTGGGAATCCTGGCGGACCAATTGCACCAACTCGACTCACACACCTCAGCTGTGCGCACGAACCGACGGCCTCTTCCAAGCCCTTTTTGGTTGCTTTGGCCTGCGTCGCACGAAAACCGCTTGCGAATCTCAGACAAAGCACGCAGTCCTGCCTCCTCCACAAACTCGCGCAGTTTTTGTTGCAACTCGTCTTTCTTCCCTGAAAGGGTCCACTTCCCTGGATATATCTTCTGCGCTTTTCCTGAGCTCAACACTTTCACCGCTCTTGCAACCCCGACCCACGTGCTGCTCCAGCGGCGCAAGACGGCTTTGGTCTCTTTCACCGTGCCGTTGTCCTCCAGCACCCTGTCGGCTTCTGCGACCACCTGAGCGAGGCCAAGCTGGGACGTCGCTTTCTCTGAAGGTCCGCCGCCTCCTCGAGATCGCGCCGGTCCTGACAACCAACAAGCCCAACGTTCAAGCCCGATGCACGTGTCCCCCAGGCCTGGCCACTGTTGTCCTGGCGGCAACCGGCAAAAGATGCGAACAGGCTTCGGGTCGGAGGAGTCCTCTTGCGCAGCCCCGGCGCGCCGAGCGACTCCGGCATGCAACGGGTGCCGTTTTGCCTGAAAGAGCCAAAGTGCAATCTGCTTGCGCCTGCGGGCAACTCTGAGAACTGGGCCAATATGCTGTCCTGGCACTCAGCACGAAACAAGAACATCCAAAGGAGGGACTTCATGCTCCTTCAGCCCAGGAACTCCTCGAGCAAAGTCCTGGGCGGCGACAAGGGACTCCTGAAACCCGAAAACCTTCGAAAAAAATGTGTCCCAAGACCCAGGCCGTGCTCGGCTGCACGAGCAGCGCCAATGCAATCCCGAGAAGGCAGAGGCACATACCTGGCCGCTGCCTACCGCGGGCACGGTAGCGTCACAAGCTTGCCAGCCTCGGCTTTTGGTCCTGGTCCGCATCATCGCCATGGCTATTCGAAAAGCGCTTGAGCGGCCTGCGATTCCTCAAGCACTGGCACTAGACCCATCGGGCAACCATTGCGAGCTGTTGTTGTGTCAGTGTTGATGAGTACCCTCGAGCCAAGTTCCAGAGCAAACACAAGATTGACTGGCTTCTTTGGCAACACCAACGCACGGGTGCTCCTCCTCCTTTTCACTCGCGGCCTGAAGGTCGGTCGGGACAAGCCTTGCAAGGCTTCGCAGCGTCCATCCGTCAGACTGGCTCACCCACATCAAAGTCCAAGCGAGATACCAAACTGGCCTGCCTGCAAAACAAGCAGCCGAAATCGGCACCGGGCCGCCAGGGCCTGAAGGGCGGGGGTTTCTGGGGTCCCTGGTCCCTGGGATCACTGGGCCTCTGGGGTCCCTGGGTCCCTAAGCTCCCTAAGGTCCCTAGGGTCCCTAGAGTTCCTGGGGTCCCTGCACACGTGTGCATCAGACGTCTCGCCAAGGCCCCAGAGTGCGCTCATCCCTGTCAACGCACGGCGGGTTCAGGGACCTTGGGGACCTTAGGGACCTTAGGGACCTTAGAGACCTTAGGGACCCTAGCAACCCTGCAAACCCTACCCTAGGGACCCTAGGGACTCCGAGGACTTCAGGGACCCAGCGACCCAGGGACTTCAAGAGATCCTTGGTGGCCCCAAGGATTTTGGGGCTTGAAGGGATCTTGGCAAGAACTTCACGCCGGGTACCACTCAGCCTGGGCATTCTCCAGCATCATAGGGTCATGCAAAAACACAAAATGCCGAAGCCAAGACACACACACTTAAACTCCAAATGGAGAGTGCTAATCTTTCGAGTACAACTGATGAGTCTCGAGTACAACTGATAAGTCTCGAGTATGATGAGGTTCGACTCGCATAACGCTTGGCTTCCCTGTAGTTACTTTAACAGGGACACACAGAAGCAACGGCAGTTCAGGGGGGGACCAAAAGGACATTCAGAACAACACAACCATCTCGGCAGGTACGTCTGACTGATCAGGTCAGATATCAGCGCAGGTCACGACCCTCTTCGTTGGGTCACCGGTCGTGACTGCGGGTGATCCCCCTGCTGAGAAACCGAAAGGGTGGTGACAGGGCATTCTGTCACTCCGCACACACACGCCCCTCAATGAGGGGCGAGAAGTCTCCTTTTCCGCAGGAAGATCACATGCTCAACCCCGTGTCCCTATCGTTGACCAAAAACTCCACCGCGGCGAGGGGAACGAGAAACAGCCCTAAACCGCTCAGAAGACGGGAACGAGAGATCACCACGTTGAGCATTACGAGTGTCGCCATAGAGGACTGAAGCGAGTTGTGAAGCAGTCGAGCGATCGCCATGAGAAAACGGAGTAGCATAGGTGAACGTCTCCTCAACTGGAATGGCATCGGAATTCCGAACTTCACCAAGAGATTGATCATGCGAATGATGAGTTGTGAAGGACTCCATTCGAGACAGAATGCGCTGGTATCCCTGATGCTGCCAGTCGCGGATGGTCCATGCCTGACCGTGCTCACCAGTGCGCCCATTGGGATCAGTCACCCGCTGCCATTCCCGAAAAGAATTGTCTGGTAGATCAGGTACAGTTTCTCCGTGGTGCCATCGCTGAGGCTGTCCTGCAGTGTAGATCCGCACCCACTCCTGATCCTGCCAGACCGAGTATTCGAGCCATGGGTGCTGCTTCGAATCCTCGATGTCCATGTCGAAGTAAGAGGCAAGGCGTATCGCGGGCTCCGATCCAGCTGATAGAGGAACAGGCACCATGCACAACCATGTACAAGCAACAACCAAGCAAGGTAATGCAAGTGTGGAAACCACCCTTATTTTGTATGCTACCCCACTCGCGTGCGTCTAGTCCTCAGTTAGCTCGAAGATAGGTCTCGCCTTGGCTTTGCAGCTGTTGGGAGGATTAACAGGCCGGTATGGGTCGGAGACCCCAACAGTCTCCGATGGTGCGATTCCACGTGATGCACGTACAGGAGAAATCCCCTCTTGGAGACGAGTCAGTTCTTCGGTAGAGAAATCCGCCGCATCCAAGGATCTAAGGATCGCTTCTAACATCTGCGGTGACATACTCAATGGCGCGGATTGCGTGGCCACGCTGCGATGATCAGGAAAAGACATAGAATCAAAGTCATGACCAGCTTGAGGGGCAGCGACTCTGTGGCCCAGTCTCTTTTGTACCACATGGTGACATTGAGCTGCTCACCGTCTTGGTCCGGGTTGGGAGCATAGAACTCCCTCCACTCTCTATACGTGTGCGGTGGAGGTGGAGCATCATGTTCTTCATGTGGAGTCCATGATCCCGGATGAAAGATCTTGACCCACTGGGCATCTGGTTGTTGAGGATCCGGACACCATTCCAGCCACGGCATGACAACGCAAACCCGGAAAGACAAATTGATAGGTACGGCTGCAGACAACAATTACTGAAAGAGACACAACTACCACAGTGCAAGAAATCACTTTTGCAGCAATGCACGGCTCCGGTATCGAAGTCAATCTCCCGAATCGAATTGAACTGAACAGACTCCCCAGGAGGCGAGGACAAGCATCAGCCACCATCCAAGTTGGAGGATGCCGATGAAGAGGTCAATCCAGCGTACATGAGGTCCGGTGCGCCCGAAGCGAAAACTGGCCGCGCAATGCTAGGATGACCCAGCCGTTGGTATCCCCTGGTGAGTGACCCAGTCTCTATAATGCCAAGTATAGAAGGATGCATAAGATACCGGCTGCGAAACAGCACCTGTATTGGTGCCGCCTGTGCTATCCCTCGGCCAATACACTTCGAAGTGGTAAACCTTGCGCCATTCCCGATAGGTGGTTGAGTCATCCGGGGCTGGTCCCAAGGTGTTCTCGGCGACTGGATGCCACGGACCCGGTACACAGATCCGAATCCATTCTACACTCGTATTCGCGGGGCCATTGACGATGTCGTAGTCAAAGTAGCGAGGCAGGACCCATCGTGCTGCGCTATACATTGTACAATTGAACATATCAACCAGGCAAACCGCTCAGAGTCAAATGAAAGCGGCGAACAACTGGAGACGGAACGCACAACACCAAGCAAGACAACTCAACATGGAATCGCACACAAAGCAAGCACAACCGCGTCATTTTATCCGACATGTTGCTCAAGTGTCACTCCGAATCGTTCCAAGGATCATAGAATGGTGGTGGTGACGGCTCTCGCCACGCCCCATCCGGAACCGATGAGTCCACCGAGGAATTGGCGTCTGCATTCACGAGCATCGCGAGTCCAATGGCTGGTAAAGGAGCTCCAAGTCGTTGATACCCTCGTGTTGCCAGTCTCGGTACTCCCACACGTGGTAGGACACATACGAACTGGGCGTGACAATGGGATCCGCTGTTGTTCCTCCGGTGCTGTCTTCGGACCAGTACACTTGGAAGCGATATGACCTGCGCCACTCCCGATACGTGGAAGCGTAGACCGGGGCGAGCACTGGAGCATCATCGGGAACGGGTCGCCACGTGCCCGGTGAGTAAATTCGAATCCATTCCACTCCTCTCTCGATCTGGTACTCGACATATTGAGGGTTCATAGCGGCAAGACAGGCTATCGCGCGGCCGCTAAAAGCAATCGAAAATCTGCGGCGAAGACACACATGCAATGACAACCGCGCGCAGCTGAAGTGTCAACCAAAGCAACGCAAGGCAACTTTTCAAACTCAAGGTGAGACACAGCAGCGAGGTTTGCAATATACGACTTATACGACGCCAAAACTTCACCGCCGTTGGTGCCGCGCACACCTGCAATGATAATGTCCTGGTCGTCTACGAGCACAAGGGGAAAGACATTTCCGTCCATGGCGCAGGAAGGCATGACAGTAATGCTTGCAATTTGCCGATGGGGAAAGCGATGGACGGTCAGCACGTTTGGAGGGGAACACGGTAAAGGGCCGCCGAGATCTCCGCGGCGCAGAAGCGGATGCTGTCCGAGATCGTTTGGATGAACGCCCTGGACTGCGTAGCTCTTCATCACGGGAATTGTCAGTGCTGTAGATCGAGCGGCGTGCGCGCTGCGACTTCGATGTGGCAGGGCAGGATTGTCCGCGAGGAGCTGAGATCGAGGGGCTCCGTACTGAGGGCGTAAACTGTGGGTGTAGAATCAAGAAGCAGTGGGAAACTTGGTGGGGGCGGAGGTGACATAGTCTGCCGAATGGGTCTGTCAAGCAGGGCACCAGGTCCGTGAAACTGTAACCACGTCGGCTGCGCTCCATGGGTCCAAGTAATGTACGTCTGTACGACTTGTTCCGACATGAAGCATCTCTGTCATGCATTCAATTCACGTCAGCGGCAACACCCACAACGGCAAGCAGTATTACCCTGGTAAAATGCCAGTCAAGTGCAAGCAAGCAAATTTTATGTGATCAATAATGACTGCAATTCCAACCGTCGCAACAACCTGCAGCGCTAGCCGAATACACCGCCACGGCCTACCATTTAGTCCTCCTGTGGTTGCTGTTGCATTTGATGACCGGGTTCTCTCTCTTTAGAGGGGGTTTCCCAAATGGATTCTATTCTACCTGAGAGGCTCCCAGCGCTCGTCCGTCCAGCATTTGACCTCGTCCTGCGAAGGATTCGAAGTCTAAAACGCTGCGTGGAGGCGTGAGGCTG